ATTTGTATAATAGGTCATTTCTTGTTAAAACTACCAGTAGTAACTCTTCTTAAAATATGTACCCAGACAAACCAATACATCTATAAAGGACTTATTATGGGACTGAAATTAATTGGACTTGAAAGTAATTACTATACAGCCAGATGCTTTGGGGGCACTATGATATATGGCTTGGGAGTTATTCTATAAATGTATGCTTTGATTTCTACATATGTACATTGTATTGTATGTGACTGTTTTATTTGTTACAACCTAGACATGTCCTCCGTTCTGCTTGATCACCTGCTTCTTGTAAACAGACACAAACCCTGACTCCATATGCTTCTAAGACCTCCTGGGTGTGGGTGGTGACTAGGCAGAATTTAGGGACAGGTAAACAACACAGAATTAGTACAGGAATTTCCTCACCTCGGATTCCTTTTAAAAGCACTTGAAGGTTGCAGCTCTTTGTAAAATGACCAGTAGTCTTGTAGACTCTCCTATGAATGCTTAGGTTTGAGTAGTCTTTCCTGCCAGCTTGGCCTGGGTGCTGTCAAAAGTGTAGTCCACTCCTGTCCCCCTCCCTCCCCCCCAATAAAGTTTCCAATCTCCTCAGTCATGTGGCTAGAGACTGAGCAGCTCTAGCCCATTTCCCCCAGCTAAAATTCTGTATATAATTGTATAATCCTTTTATGAATGTAACTAAGCTATTTTGTGGCAGTGATTTTTGTTTTTCCCCAATAGATTTATCCACAGTGAAACAGAGAAATCTATTGCCTTTTAGTGTTACCATAAACAAAAAAAAAAATTATGCTGCTATCCAGTTGCCTTTGTCCTATGATGGAGCTTGTCCTGCTTCTCCCTGCAGTAAATCATGTCTCCACTGTGTAAATACAAGGATGAAAATGTCTTCCAAAGTGAATGTCTACAATTATTACATAGCCCATGTGCTACAATGCTATTCCAACCCCACTGTTTGGGTGACTCCACCTTTGGAGAGCTTGTTTTGATTTAATTCTGTTGTTCATGGATTATTTTCTGTGAAAGCAACTGCCTTACCAGTAATTACTTGTGGCGCAGCCTGTCTAAGAAGTACCTGGGCTTTTCATCCAAATGTAAGACACAGGAGAAATAAGCTTGAAGTCTGAGGGGACTATACAAGGACAATGATGCAACAATTCCATGCTAGTAAACTAAGACACAGGACATAGTATGCATAATGAGTAGGTGGCTGAATTTAAAATACCTTCTCGTTGTTTTCCTGCAGTTTAATAATGTGTTTTTGTACTCTGAGTTTCATGTAGGTAAAAACTCAGCTTCCAGCTAATTGTTAAATATATGCTTGTAGATCATTTGTGGAAAGCATACTCCTCCTTAGTAATGCAGTGACTGTGCATTCAATTGGTTGCACTTCCCTGTGTTTTACAAGACCGTCTGAATTGGCGCAAGATGAAAGAACGTGCATCTGTTCCCTGATCAGGGGCTTGAATGAATTCATTTTGAATCCGTTCAAAGTGAAGAGAGGTTGATTCTGGCTGAACAAGTCTGAATTTCTCTACTCACAACATGGGTGTAGTTTGAAAAGTAGCATCTATGTTCTTTAGTAAGGGCTACTTCAGCGTGAAGAGAGACTGATGCCTGTTGAACAGGTGTGCATTTCTCTAATCACAAAACAGATTTACTTTGAAAAGTAGCATCTACACCACCAGTGTCCTTTACTAGGGGTTACATCTAGCCCAACTCCTGTATTCATAGTTTCTAGGGTCGGAAGGGACCTGAACAGATCATCAAG